AACACCCACGCAACACACCCCCAACACCCACGCAACACACCCCCAACACCCACGCAACACACCCCCAACACCCACACACCACACCCCCAACACCCACGCAACACACCCCTAACACCCACGCTACACATCCCCAACACCCACGCAACACACCCAAATTCCCACGCGACGCACCCCCAACACCCACGCAACACACCCCCAACACCCACGCAACACCCCCAACACCCCCACAACACATGTCCCCCATAGGCCACATGTTTGCCCCGCTGTAGCGCAGGTGTCACCAGCACATCCGGCCACAGGTGTGCTAGCGCCTCAGTTCAGCTAACTTGTTCAACCTAAACATATTTTACCTAAATTCAACATGATTAGGCCTTAATGAACCTAATCTTATTTAACTGAGCCTGTCTTTACGTGAACTCAATCTTTTCTAAATGAGCCAGTCCTTACGTAAACCCAATCTTTTCTTACTGAGCCTGTCTTTACGTGAACCTAATATAATATTTTTCTAACTGAGCCTGTCCTTACGTGAACCTAATATAATATTTTTCTAACTGAGCCTGTCCTTACGTGAACCTAATCTTTTCTAACTGAGCCTGTCCTTGCGTGAACCCAATCTTGCCTCACTGAACCTGAACTAGAGAACCCAAACTTAACCTAACTGAACCAGAGAACCTAACGGAATGTAACGCTGAAGTTCACAGTAGAAATTTCACGCGGCATCACATAACTTGGTTGATGACGTCACCAGGGACGTGACGGCGCAATATGGCGTCACGTTGCACGTCACAGCTGCGTCTGTGACGTCAAGGGACGGCAATTTGTTACATAAATTGTCTGGATCTTATGTTGATTTTGTGTTAATATTCTGTCATTTTAATGTCGGGTGGAATGCATGGAAGTGCCATGCGCACAAGCAGCGACCGTTAGAGCAGCAGCCGTACGGATTTTTTTTAAATTATTTATTGTCCACATTAGAATTGCGTTTCATATCGCATGATAACTAATTGAGATTTTAAAGATACTCGAATAACATAATTCTCATGGTAAAACATGGCAAAATATAGCGTTAAGAATGAACTCCCGGCAATGAAAATCACTGCAGTGACGTCACGAAAGCTCTAGTCTTTTGATCACTTAAAAGTGCAGGTGCACTTGACAGCCTGGTTATATATATGACTCAATCCCCGCACCTTGTCACGGGGGTGCGTTGTCCCGCACCTTGTCACGGGGGTGCGTTGTCCCGCACCTTGTCACGGGGGTGCGTTGTCCCGCTTCTTGCCACGGGGGTGCAATATATTCTTTACAGTATGAAACAACCTGGTTCGTAGCTGGTGGCGACGCAGACCCTCCAAATTACCTGTTGCCGCTGTACATTGACGCGGTTACAGCCTTATTCTGCTTTGACTGTGCATTTCCTCAGTCCCGGCTCCAAGAATACCTATCCTATCAAGATTGAAAATCCTGCTTCATTCATTCACTACTAGTCTGAAATAAAAGTTTGAACCTTTGAATTTGATCATTATCTTTAAGGCACGATTGTATGTAATTATTCATCCCCGCCTTGTTACGGGAGTGCGTTGTCCCGCACCTTGTCACGGGGGTGCCCCCAACTCGTGGTGCCAATTTAGAGAAACTAATTAAAAACACAAAATAAACGATGGATCACGTATAGCGAAACCTCAAAAGCTGATTACTTATTGAAGCATTTCGAATTGAGAAAATTCGACGGAAATCTTATATACCTCCACAACAGGTATAATTGTGGCTTCTCGTGACACGGAGAGCGGGAAATTCCCCTAAAATCTATAATTATTTAAGATTGAAGGCCTGCATGAATGACTGCTATGCTGACAAAATATAGGGAACTTAATGAGAGAAAAAAATCTATTCCGCGGAAGTTTCGACTGGCGATGTTACTACCGTCGGTAGTACCTACACAACTGGCAACAAACCTAGACTTGCTAACCATTGCCTTACTGTTGCCAAACCTAGACTTACTAACCATTGCCTTACTGTTGCCAAACCTAGACTTACTAACCATTGCCTTACTGTTGCCAAACCTAGACTTACCAACCATTGCCTTACTAGTGCCATAACTAGACCTACACAAGCTGACAATAGCTTTCCTAGTACTGGCGTCTAGAAGTAGTGTGACTAAATGTGTCCGAATCTTCAGCAGTGCCGACCCGACTGATTGTATATATTAAGTTAATGGCCATAACCTTTCGTTGATGTAGAGAAATTCACAAGAAATTAAAGGAAATATGTTTTAGGGCTGCCACAGAAAGTACAGTTCTGCATCTAGCAGGTATATAGTTTTGCATCACTCAGCACAGTTGTGCCCACTCAGCACAGTTGTGCTAATCCAGCACAGTTGTGCCCACTCAGCACAGTTGTGCTAATCCAGCACAGTTGTGCCCATCCAGCACAGTTGTGCCTATCCAGCACAGTTGTGCCCATCCAGCACAGTTGTGCCCATCCAGCACAGTTGTGCCCATCCAGCACAGTTGTGCCCATCCTGCACTGTTGTGCTAATCCAGCACAGTTGTGCCCATCCAGCACAGTTGTGCCCATCCAGCACAGTTGTGCCCATCCAGCACAGTTGTGCCCATCCAGCACAGTTGTGCCCATCCAGCACAGTTGTGCCCATCCAGCACAGTTGTGCCCATCCAGCACAGTTGTGCCCATCCAGCACAGTTGTGCCCATCCAGCACAGTTGTGCCCATCCAGCACAGTTGTGCCCATCCAGCACAGTTGTGCCCATCCAGCACAGTTGTGCCCATCCAGCACAGTTGTGCCCATCCAGCACAGTTGTGCCCATCCAGCACAGTTGTGCCCATCCAGCACAGTTGTGCCCATCCAGCACAGTTGTGCCCATCCAGCACAGTTGTGCCCATCCAGCACAGTTGTGCCCATCCAGCACAGTTGTGCCCATCCAGCACAGTTGTGCCCATCCAGCACAGTTGTGCCCATCCAGCACAGTTGTGCCCATCCAGCACAGTTGTGCCCATCCAGCACAGTTGTGCCCATCCAGCACAGTTGTGCCCATCCAGCACAGTTGTGCCCATCCAGCACAGTTGTGCCCATCCAGCACAGTTGTGCCCATCCAGCACAGTTGTGCCCATCCAGCACAGTTGTGCCCATCCAGCACAGTTGTGCCCATCCAGCACAGTTGTGCCCATCCAGCACAGTTGTGCCCATCCAGCACAGTTGTGCCCATCCAGCACAGTTGTGCCCATCCAGCACAGTTGTGCCCATCCAGCACAGTTGTGCCCATCCAGCACAGTTGTGCCCATCCAGCACAGTTGTGCCCATCCAGCACAGTTGTGCCCATCCAGCACAGTTGTGCCCATCCAGCACAGTTGTGCCCATCCAGCACAGTTGTGCCCATCCAGCACAGTTGTGCCCATCCAGCACAGTTGTGCCCATCCAGCACAGTTGTGCCCATCCAGCACAGNGGCGTTGAAGAAATAGGCCCATGGCCTGTTGCCGATTCTTGAACTTTTCGTGACTTGATTCACAAGGGATCCGGCCTTTGGAACCCGATCTTTCCATAATTGACGATTGATTGAGATAGCTGCTGGACTTATTGCCTTGTCCGTAATTTGCTAGGCATTTTAAGACTTAACATATGTATGCTAACATACTCGGAGCTTCAACGATGCCATCAGGGAGGCTGTTAAGTAATGATGCTGTTATGCAGAAGTAATGTTGCAAGTAAAGCTCCAATGTTGAGCAGGAGTTTTTGCGCTTTTTGTGTGAGAGAAATGGAGAGTGAAGTGCTATACAGTGTTGTTCACTTATACAACTAAAGAGAGTGGAGTGCTATTCAGTATTGTTCACTTATACAACTAAAGAGAGTGGAGTGCTATTCAGTATTGTTCACCTCTACAATTATAGAGAGTGGAGCGCTATACAGTATTGTTCACNCAATTATATAGAGTGGAGTGCTATATAGTATTGTTCACCTCTACAATTATAGAGAGTGGAGTGCTATATAGTATTGTTCACCTCTACAATTATAGAGAGTGGAGTGCTATATAGTATTGTTCACCTCTACAATTATAGAGAGTGGAGTGCTATATAGTATTGTTCACCTCTACAATTATAGAGAGTGGAATGCTATGTTATCTTGTTCAGCTCTACAATTGTGAAGTGATCCAAATTAATGTTTATCTCTACAACTATAAAGAGTGCAGTAATATACATTAAGGTTTACCTCTATAATTACATTCAACGAACGCTTTTCCAACTTATAATGTTATTTAGTATCAGTTCTATTCCTGCTCGCACCAAATGGTGAGGTCACATGCAAAGAAAAGTATACAAGATTCAAGAGAACGACTTCATCATAAAATTTTTTTTTAACAAAAACAAGACCCGACGAAATAGCAATAAAACTATCGTACTAATTTATTCATATTTACTTCACTTCAGCCATGCGGACAGGTCAATATTTATCTTATAAAAATAGGAAATAATATTCAGAGATGAGAAGGTGGAGTGTCCAGCGAAGCTCTCCACTTGACATAAGTTTCAACACGCACACACATAAACATTCAGCTGCCGCCGTGCATTTCAACTTAATTACACATAGGTACACTATATCAGGAATAAACAAGTATTCAACAAATTTCACAGCTTACATAAACTGAAAATAACAATAAGCATAATGGCCGAGCAGCTTAACATAGCCCAGCAGCGATGCTTGAGAATACTCACATGAATGAATGGGTCAAATAATGCAAATAGTGACACAACTTCTCCTCGTAGCACCGATACGCACTTTTTTCGGAATAAACTGCATCAGGATGACCCATGCAACAAAAAGTGCGTTGCTAGACGGAAGAAGTGCCACGCCTTTCTCTGAACACCAAATAATAAATGACTTTCTAAAGCAAAGGCCGTCCACAAAATGGCATATTTGCTGCAGCATCTTAGAAAATTAACTGACTTGCCTGAGTATCTCAAGGAGTAGAGACGAACGGCACTGCTGCTCGCAACGTAAGTTCACATTTGCACCATAAAATTGTAAACCACGCGCTCGAAGATTTTCTTATTTATTAGAATAATTCTCGACAACTAAGAAGAAAAAGATCACTCCTGTGACTAGACACGACAGAGGAGCTTCAACGTCAGCCTAACTCACGGAGGTGATTGTTCTTGGCGGGATTCAGGAAACTATTTTAAATTTAAGCCCTATTTTAATATGCAAAAATATCGTGTCTATTTGAGAGAATATTCAAATTACATAAGCAGATAGATTCAGTTGAGGGATTCGTCGGTAGAAGCCTATTCATTGGTGCTATAAATAACATAACAAAACATGATTTAATCTCAAGACGTCAGAACTTATAAAATCATATCTAACGTAAGTATATCCAATAAGTAGTTTATTAAGAAATTTCTTACACAATAAGTAAGACCACATTTGTCTTCAGGACCAACGTAGCATAAGGCGGAACATTTCTTTAAACCTGACCGTTCAGCCGTTATAACAAAAGCTTGTTCCAGAAACAAGCGGTGGCCTTATGAGTATATAAATAACATCTAAAGCAGCTCTCGGACAAATGACTATTGTTATCGCCCCAAGTTTTACGAAATAATTAAAATCTGAAAGTATCTGACTGATATTGGCCGACAGAACATATGGCAAAAGAGAGCATCAGATTCGACAGCCTGCACCACATTTAGAAATAACATGGCTGAAAATTAGCAATTAATCTATGAACAATTGAAATATTGTCATTAATAAAATGTTCTTAACAAACATAACAATTAGGGTTTTCTGATTGATTTTGATATAGATGAACAAGCTTTAAATCAGTTTGACAAAAAAATGTAAAAAGTTTTTAATGTCATCTGATGGGCAGAGACTGCAAACATACATTCCAATTCAGATTGAATTAAAAAATTCGTAGAGGAGCATCGATACAGATATCATTAAAATACAAATAATCAATCAAAAGACACTAACCATCATACCACAAGACACAGACCATCACGCCACAAGACACTGACCATCACGCCACAAGACACAGATCATCACGCCACAAGACTAACCATCACGCCACAAGACACTCATGCCACATGGCATGCTGCCCCCGAGCACCGCACCAGAGCGTCCAGCAGTGCGTGGTAGTACAACAGCTGTTCGGCGCTGAGCCGCCCCGCCGCGTTCATCAGTTGGCTGGGGTCTTCGCTGAGGTCGTAGAACTCGACAAACTCCTCCTGGTCCTGCCACCTGCAGAACACCACGTCCTTCGCCGTCCTGACGCTACCAGGCTCACTATATATTGTAGTTCTCCCTTTGAGTTTTTGGTGCTTATGAGTTATTGTTGTTCCCGAGTCTTTTGAATGATCGTCCTGATCTTCTTTCAGTCGAGACCGTGAACTATTCTGAATGTTAATATCAGACACCGAAGCGTCATTCGAAGTATAAATAGCATCATCGGACACCAAACGGATCTGGCGCACACAGGCAAAGCTGCTGTTCCAGGAGTCCGTGCATTTGCAGTCGAACTCAGGATCGCAGCCGTACATCCCTGGCCCGAGGTGCCCGCATGCTCCGTCGGTGCGAGCAAACCCTTCCCCGGAGTGCTCCACCAGGAGGGTTCGGCTGCCAAGCCAAAGCGACGGAGACTTAGAACGCAACTCTGAGGCACCCTCCTTAACCTCATGACGTAATAAAAAAGATTTCAAGGAGACACCATCCATATCCTTTGGTACCGCGACGCCAGCCAAACTCAGTAATGTGGGTGCAAGGTCCACGTTGCTGATGGGGTGAGGCAGAGTAACGCCTTTGCCCACCCCAGGACCGCGTATAACAAACGGAACTCTGATATCAAACTCGTAGGGCTGTCTCTTGTCGTAAGGCAGGGAGAACTGATCGAGATGAAAGCCGTTGTCTGACGTAAAAATTATGTAAGTATCATCCAGCAATTCTTTTTCATGCAGGGACTCCACTATTTTCTTCAGCATGTCATCGACAGAAAGGAGCGTTCTTAACCGATTCCTGAAAATGTCGTCCACCTTGTCGAGAAGCTCTTCACGTAGAGGCTGCTCACCGAGTCTCAGCAGCCAGTGCTTGGTGCCGTCATTCCTCACGTTGAAGTTCGCAGTTCGAGGAGCCTTTAAATCTGGAAATTTGTCCTCATACTTCGGCTGAGGCGTGAAGGGTGCATGGGGCGCCGGCGTGGACAGCATCATGAAGAAGGGAGCCTCGTGTTGTGGCAGGTCGTGACTCTTGGGCGGCAGCGAGGCGAGGAACTGCAGGGCCTGCTTCTCGATGACGCTGGTGAGGTAGTCTGCGTCGGGGTGATCGCCGTGCCACACCTCGCTGCCGTTGATGGACAGCGAGTAGTTGTAGTACCTGGAGTTGCCGACCAGGCCTTGCCACCAATGCCAACCTGGGGGTACATGAGCAGGACCTCCGCTCTCCGCCCTGCCGTACTGGTTCAAGTATTTGCCCGCGAAAAAAGTACGGTAGCCCGCAATCTGTAGGTGCACTGCCAACGTTGCTTTCTCAGGCCCATTCTGTACGTAATGTTTCAGATTAGCAATACTAATTAACACGTTTTTCTTAGCTTAGCTTCGCGTTTGTTTGTTTGTTTGTTTGTTGTTAACATTGACAACGAAAATTAACCCACTTCTGATTGCTCTAGAGATCTGAATAAAGCGAAAATCATACAACACACGAATTTTGGAAATTTGATGGTGAACGTACAGCCCGACCCACGTTTTTTGGGCGAGCCATAATTTATTTTCTACTTTTTAGTCCACAAGAAAAACGTGTTTTTTTTCAAGTTTTTTTTTAGTATTTTATTTTCTCCTTTTTAGTACGTTGCTACACATGAAAAACGTTGTTGCGAGCCAATTTACTTGCCTTGACGTACGTATCGATGATACGCAGCGTCAGCGCCTGCTCGTCTATAACGTCAGCGCCCGCACGTCATACTATATATATACTATTAATATATACTTTACCAAATTAAGCTAATTTAGGTCTCTATTGCTAGTTTTTATGATTGTATCTGAAATTGTTAGGCAAATATAGCCTGCATGCCGAATTTCAGATCTCTAGAGCAATCAGAAGTGGGTTAATTTTCGTTGTCAATGTTAACAACAAACAAACGCGAAGCTGAGTAAAGAAAAACGTGTTAAAAACAAACTTTCTTAATATGATACTGATTGCCTATCCATTATATTTAGTTGTCAACAAACACCTCCAGCAAATAGGAGGAGATACAAGATAAGTTTTCGTGGATAAAGAAGTTAAGAGTCACAATAAAATGTTCACGCTTCAGGTTCAAACGCACGAGTTGTATGACTGCTACAAGTGGCTGACTGGAACAGTCACACAGATGTATGACTGCTAACAAGTGGCTGACTGGAACAGTCACACAGTTGTATGACTGCTACAAGTGGCTGACTGAAACAGTCACACGTAGGATTGTAATACAAGCTTCTTTCTCTTGCATCCAGTCATGTGCAATCATGAATAATAAATATATAAATCGCTTCATTGTGACCAATATCTCAAGGAATGATGTATTTTCAGAAATTCATTATCTTTATGTCTATTTATACATTAAAAAAGTTTACTAGTTATACCTATATAAGAAAAAATAATGATAATTAGATCCTCTTGCGTGAAAAATTTTATATGGACTTAATGGGCTGAGTATGAATAATCTTGGCAGGAAATATTGCTACCGGTAGCAATCAACAGTAAAATTAGTAGATACTGAGAGAGGAAAAACCGTCATCTTTGCAATGTTTATCTCTCAGTAATTCAACAATCTAATCCATCTAGAAAAATTCAAGATATATGATTTAAACATTTCTTGAAGATTAAAACAAATATTTTATTGAATGCATGGGGTTATTGTGGTTAACCTAATTTGACGCACCGTGCATGGAAGTCGGTTTCCTGCAAGAGGAAACAAACCTCTAATTCCTGCTAGATGCATGCCTTCACAGTTAAAGTAAAATAATAATTCAAAGTTGCAATTATTTGTGCATTAAATGAAAAGACTCATTGACTGACCAAGTATCCGTTTTCTAAAATTCATGGGTGACTTATTTACTGATTAATAAGAGTTGTTTGAAGTTGAGTGTATCCCCAAGACTCGGTTTTTTCCCCAAATTTTATCGCTTTGTATTTACTGTGCTAGGAAGCTCTCTTGAATAAGATTCTTACAGCTACCCGGAGGATCGCACCTGCCAGACGCGGTCACTGCAGTGGCCCTCGAGAGAGTTGTTAATGGCGCCGTGGTTGTGCACATAACGACCAGTCAAGATGGATGACCTGCACATTATGGCTTGCATTAAATGACGTGGAAGAGAATGTCAAAAGCAGGAAGCTTATTGGTTATTAGCATTAGAAGCAAATCCTATTAAATGGAATGTGTCATCAAAGATTGAGTCAAACTTGAGTAGTTCATAGTGACTGAGATATAGGAAAGTCAAAAGAAGTAAACGCAAATTTTGAAGATTAGCCTCCACTTAAGAGAAACATGCAAGTAAGTTACAAGTTTCTTATTTTGATTCAAAAAGTCAACCACATTCACTTATCTTCTTTAAGCTTTGGAATGAAAATTATTAATGGAATGGAAGAACAGGATGTCATCATTAGATAAAATTTAATCATGGTTAAAGCACAACATGAAAACCAGACCATGAGATTGAGAGATGATAAAATATATGGATGATTTTCTTGAATTCATCAATAATATTGTAGAATGATCATGTTAATGCAGGAATTACTGGCAAGTCTCCACATTTTCCATGAAAGATGATGTGATAAAAGAAGTATTTTCCAGTTGTCAAGCAGAAACATACCTACTATTGTAAAAACCACTCTCAAGTTTTACTCAAGTTTTTCAGCAATATAAAAGGAATTTTATGACCTAAAGACTGGAATTAAATGAAAAGATTAGAAAGAACACCTGCTGGGGCAGCAGAGAGGAGTGTCAACATAAGCATTGGAGAGGACGGTTCCTTGTCGGACGAGTAGCTCCCGCAGGTTAGTCATGTGCTCGGCTCCCAGCAACACAACATCTTGATCGTCGGTCAAGAACAGCACCAAGTTGGGACAAACCTTCTCAATTTTCTGAAAAACACAAACTTATATCAGGAATGGACATTAAAAAATAAAAAAAATATTCAGGACAATTAAAATACATATCATAGTATGATGATAGTAGTACATAAATGTTGGGTCTCTTGGCTCTTAAGGAAATAGTGAGTTGTTGTTTTCAGTTCAATCATATTTTGGATCTACCTATAACAATAAAGCAGCGGTATTCTACCTCATAAATATTCTGCAATATCATTTAGGATGATACCTATTGTATTGTATTGAAATGATATTCTGTGAGTATTGATGATATTAAGTATTACATAGTACATAGGTACCGGTATATCAAATTCTTACACTAGAATCATTTGGAGTGTGCAGAGATGACAACAGGGCTTCAGGAGTTGCATATTTCTTAGGCTCAATGTAAGAGAAGTAGAACACCAATGTAAATAAACATAATCCAAGGAACAGGTATATTCTATGTAATATCACATTCTGGGAATTGGTAGGCGCCACTGGTCTCTTTACATGAGCAATCATCTGTGGATATGATAACTTACACCATTAAAACATTATGCCACTTATAATAATCAGCAATTAGAATTGTCAACTACTGAATGACAGAGATAGGATTAGAATTGTCAAGTACTGAATGACAGAGATAGGATTAGAATTGTCAACTACTGAATGACAGAGATAGGTATGCAATTAAAAAGTTGGAAATTTGAACTACAAATTACAAAAATACCAAATTACAGAAATACAAGGTTTGATCCACCCACAAACAGGGTAATAAGGGATGGACAGGGTAAATCAAGACAGTTGTCCCACAGTTTGTAGAAATGTTGTAGCAACTAAACTAATCAAAATATTGCAAGACTAAAAATAGTGGCATAAAGTTTAACATTTTTACTATCTATCATCAGGCATCGGACACTTTGATAGCAAAGGCATGAAGCATGGGCATGCAACAGTGTTGACCATTGGCATTGGCTTTATCAATCATAAAGCACACATGTTTGTGACAATTGTCAGGCATCAGCCACATCAATCATAAAGTGCATGTGCCCGTATCAACCATGGGGTATTGGTGATGGTTACACTTTTAATTTAACAAAGCATATTGGCAACTTTCTTCACCGGCATACATCCTAAAATGAACCTCCGGCATATAGGCGGCAGGCCGCACCTTCCTGACCATGGAATTGCCATATTAGGGTAAACGCGGTATATTCCGACACATTAAGGACGCATCGAGAAATGAAAAACTATAAAAAAAACTGTATGCGTTACGTAACTTCTGTTGGCTTCGCGTGACTCACAAAACACCGGACTATGCGTCAGCAACGATGAAACGTCACAAAATGTTGCCATATCTATTAAAAAGCCTTTAGAATGGAAACCTACCAAATCCCTATATTCCGTCACTAGATGATCTCACTGGGTAGTGTGCATTGTCTCTCTTTGGATCTCAATATTTTCCTGCTAGATCGCCAAGACCTAGTGTTTTGGCATTAGTTCGATGCACAAATGTATGACTATGACGTCACCATTTCAACCATCAAGAACGCATGGAACTAAAATAAAGCTTAATATAAAGGAAAAACTAGAGAGGTGATGGAATTACCCACGATGTCGGAATATACCGTGTTTACCCTATTTGATCATTCATAAATGCATTAAAAAAATTTGGTGGCATTGGCATATATTTTTAGTGCATTGCCCCTGTTTTGCTTGCCATGTCCATACATCCATCTATCGATCCATCCGTCTGTTTGTCTATCCGTGACTTCATGTTTTTGTCGACAAGAAAATGCGCTCGGTCACTCACGTCTCACTGCAGAGTGCAGTCAGTACCGAATTATTTTTTTTCATTGTGGATGTAATAAGTAGGCTAAGTGGAGATGATTTTCCTTATAGTCCAAACTCGGGAAGATGTAGGTTTTTTTAGGAATATTACTGCACAAAAAGGGCTTACTGAAATTAGCTACTGATTTCATTACCTACAATTTGAGGCTACAAATTCATGATGATATCAAAATAATCACAACAGTCACAACTTAGTTCTACAAGACTACAACTTCTACTGTTCTGGTAAATTCTTCATATAAATTAAATACCCCCGTTATCTACCGCAGCTCTAACCGGTATATTTTTTAAAAGGCCTCCCACACTCACCATTCCAACAAAAAAAAAGGAATTGATTTTATTAATTAAAAACAGGGAATGGTTGTATAATTGTAGAGGAATTTGTTGTTGTTGCGATGTTGTCCCTTTGATGGTGATTAGGTGACTGGTGAGGAAGGTAGAAGCATTTGAAGAAGCCGCAGCAGCAGGAAAAATGACCAGGTGCTTTACGGAACACTGGCTTTTTTCCGCAGTTGCGGGAATTCTCGAAAAAATTTGTCTCGTCGTTTCTGTAATTTTGGATAATCATTAAAATTTCCTCTCATGTGAATAGAAACATATTGTGGGCAAAATAATTCACAGAAGCAAATGTTTGAAAAACTTTTCAAATTTTAGGAAGAATGGCTTGCTTTCTCTAAAGAGACTGCAGAAAATGTCATTGAAAATTATCACAGTTGCCATGGTTTTTTTATCAAAAACGATGTCAAAGCAGTGTTTAAGAACCATTGGTGTTTCTTTCTCAGATAGGCATGGTTGTTTAACTGCGAATTCAATACTCATATTTCATAGGCACGTTCTCGCTGCGATACTCCAAATTCTGTGAGGGGGCAAGGAAGTAAGTTCACTCCACTTTATGGCCTTCTTGTCATTCACGGTGAGAAAATAATCAGCGCTGACTCTCAGTTACAAATCTATCAGTTGGTCACAGAACCGACTACCTGACAAGTGGGCAGGGTGGCCCAGTGGAGTTCAGAGTACTAGAATTGGAGCAGAGAGGCGCGGGTTCGATCCCAGCTCTGTGCGCCAGTTTCTTGTCAGAATCGGCGAGGCCGGGCGGTTAAGCACAGCAGAATTGTAGCAGTGAGTTGCGAGTTCGAGACCGCAAAATGCTGTGAATGTTCTGCGATGTTAAGAATCGGNGATCTGCCGGCAATAAAACCATGTTGACAATCTGATATGAGATGGTGAGCAGTCAAGTGATCGATAATCCTATCCCTCACAACAGATTCCATCAGCTTACAAACAACACTTGTCAGACTGACAGGGCGATAGTTGCCGGGGCTGCTTTTGTCACCTTTTTTGAACAATGGTGTTACTTGAGCTTCTTTCCAGTCGGACGGCAAAGTTCCTTCGTTCAAGGTTTTTTGAAAGAATTCTGTCAATGGGCCGGCCAGAACGGTTGCTAATTCTTTGAGCAATCTGGGATGGAAGCCGTCTGGTCCACATGACTTGTTGGGATTTTGAGCTACCAGGCGCTTGAGAACCTCTTCTTCGTGTATTTCAAAACCTGTTAGCTTCGAGCCGACTGGGCGCTCCTCAATATCTGGAATACTGTTCAAGTCCTCATCTGTGAACACACTGCTGAAGAACTGACATATGGCGACCGCTTGCCACATCTCGGACAGATTTACACCCGGCGACCACCATCTTAGCTATTATCGACTATTGTATTGCATTAACTATTATCGACTATTGACATTATCGACTATTGTGAACATTATTTCACACCAACGCGGTGTTGGATCACGCAGCTGTAACGATGAGTGATGAATACATGTAAGTTGTCCCTCCCTCTCATGCGCACACTTTAGGCACGTGAAGTCCGTAGACTGTTGTGGTAGTGGCTGCGTGTATACCGGCCACGGTCGCTATTAGTTTATTTCTCGCATTCTGCCGGCAAGAGAACGGTTAAATTTTATTAATATTTTGTATTGTTTTATCGCTCCTACCTATACTTTCTTCTATTATTTCTCGCACCTCTCTCTTCCCGAGAAGAATATATTATCAGGTTCTGAGAAATTGGAAGTTTTTATATACAATCATTTCAATATAATAGGCATGTCTTGCATGCCAAGATAATAAAAACATTCGTTCTATCAGAAATATATTATTATTGGAAAAACGCTATAACTTAAAGGGTTGCGTGTTGTAACACAGAGTTGCTAGAACTTTAAGGGTTGCGTGTTGCAAAACTGAGGCGCTAGAACTTGAAGGGTTGCGTGTTGTAGAACTGAGGCGCTAGAACTTGAAGGGTTGCGTGTTGTAAAACTGAGGCTCTAGAACTTGAAGGGTTGCGTGTTGTAAAACTGAGGCGCTAGAAGTTGAAGGGTTGCGTGTTGTAAAACTAAGGCGCTAGAACTTGAAGGGTTGCGTGTTGTAAAACTGAGGCTCTAGAAGTTGAAGGGTTGCGTGTTGTAAAACTAAGGCGCTAGAACTTGAAGGGTTGCGTGTTGTAAAACTGAGGCTCTAGAACTTGAAGGGTTACGTGTTGCAAAACTGAGGCGCTAGAACTTGAAGTGTTGCGTGTTGTAAAACTAAGGCGCTAGAATTTGACAGATTGCAGGTTGAAAAACTGACTTTAACCGCAGAATCAAAAAAATCAAAACTTCTGCTCGATTCAAGTGTACCCGGGCATGATTATTTTTTGGACGGCATTTATTGTTGTGTTGCTTGCAAGACATCAGCTCCGGGCGATATTACCCGCCACCGTCCAGACAGTTTTTTCTGCTGCTTGGAAGAAGGAAGTATAGAAGCAGGAGCCGAAATGATAGATTCCTCCTGCTCCTCCGTGTCAGTTGTTGCGAGACTTCCCTGCGCTGCGGTGCACTGCTTGCAAGCGCTGCTAGCCCCGCAAGCGTGCCTTCACTAACTTCAATGGTTGCAATCTTCATTAAATAGTTTCAATAAGTAATCTATACTTACTGCAGTAAGAAGGATGGCATATTAGTACGTTTCAAAATATTGCTATATGTTTACACATAGCTACTTGTGATAGCTATCGATCATTATAAATAAGAAATATCTTTAAAAGAAAAATCCTCGACACAACTATAATCAGTCCTTCTCTTCGCTTTATAATTCGGATTAAAGCGTTGAACGTACGAACCGATACGTGGTGGTAAGTTATACGTGTCGTACGTATACGTACGACACATATACGTATGCGAGTAATATAATAAATATTATTGAAAGTTATAATGTAACACGACCTGCTTCTTGCCGACACACTTAATTTGAAGGAGAGCGTCTGAGTAAAATAAAAAACTTTTTTATTTACGGACGGATCACTTTTGAAACCTGGTACACACATGCAAAATAGAAATTAATATATTTTTCAAATATATATTTCGTGTAAAATTTTCAAAAAATTTAAGAAAACATGAAATTCAAAGAAAAGGGTACCGAAAAAGAGGTACCGTAAAAATTCAATCTCCTCATTCAATAATATTAACGTGCTACAGCATCGAGAGACCCATCATTCGATTCGTAAAAACCATATCTAGCGTTGACCGATCATTTTTTCAATTTTCTTCTGTGATGTTATTTTCTGATTTTTTCATCTTCCCCCGTACCCTCCCCCGTTTTTTCGATATATAATCCAAACTAAAATAAAAATAAAAAAAGTGATCGGTGGATCGCAAG